GAAATATATTAGCATTGTACAATGTACTTCAAAGTTATAATAACATCAATAATATTCTTTATAATAAAATAATTTATTTAAACATTGTTTTCAAGGGATATCATGTTTGTCCATGTTTTAACTTTGTCAAAAATAAAAGGAATTGTACATTTTAATTTGATAACATTTTAAAACAATTAAAATGTTAAAGTGTGATATAGATATACATAAGGTGTACAGCTTTTTTTTTTATTGTTTTTTAAATTTATTTATTTATTTTCAGAAGGGAGACTTCAATACTTTCATTAAAATGGTTTCAAGTTTGTTGTAATAAAGGATTTGTTCACTCAAATAACTTGTTCTTGTTCTTTTAAGAGTCATTGTTACTGATAAGAATTATTGTTTAATATATACCGTGATAACCGTGAAACCATGATATTTTCTGAGACGATTATCATACCGTGAAAATCTCATACCGTTACAACCCTACCTGCAACTGCAGTGTGTGGTTGTGCAGCTTTAGTATCTCTTAACATTTTTATGTTCTTCCAAACAATGTTCTTTGCTACAACTTGTTTTAAAGTTATCAGTATTGCATACCTCAGATGTTTTATGCTCAACATATACATTAACATAAATATATAGATTAATATTACATTAACATTTTTTTTTACTATAGTCGGTAGTAAACCATAGTGAAAACACGATAATGTATGACAAAAAGATTGCTACAGTCCAATATAGAGTTTAACATGAATATGCTCTATATGCTATGACCAATCAGAATTAAAAATTCTGAGTAACTGAGTAATAAAAGAGGTGATAAAGCAGTGGTGCAGAACAGTGCCATTGTTTTGTCTTAATGTATTGATCTTGCTCGGCTTGATTAGAAGTGATTTCATATTTGTTTGCTTGTGGGGGTGAAAAATGTCTCAGGAAACCACAGTTACACTCTGATATCATTTTTGTATGTGAGCTATATTCATTTATTTTAATTTTATTTGAATTGAATTGCATACTCATTTCAGATAAAATTTTGCACTTCTCTTTACCCCTAATCTTATCATATATATATATTTATATATATATACTGCTCTTTCCTGAAAAATGGGGAAAGGTTTTTCATGGCTATAACAACTTTTGTGTGGTATAGCTTGCAGTCAGCAACAAGTTGTGACAGGAAGCAAGGCTCTTGCAAGTGTGTGCCATTGTAGAAATAAGGACCCCCTTCCCATTATTTCTTGTGCACATTTGCAACTTGATTTATGATTTTCCTGGAAACGAGATCACAAGTTCTGTGAATACAAATGCGCAACCATTTGCAGAGACTACTGAACTGTTTGAATGTGTTTTGTCCACACAGGTTGATTTCTGCAGTTACAGACAAATCTACCATCCCTAAACAGCATGTAAACAACTGTGATCGGTCACTTTACATGTCTGTCGAACAGTGTCTGTGTGTTTACGTAGATTGTTCTTATCCAAATTAAACTGCAAAGTGGGCTGAACTCGCAATGAAATGCAAGTAGCGACAGATCTTTTCTTCAGTATGGTGATGCACATCCAAGACGATTATAAAAAAATTAGGGATGCACGATATATCGGCCACCATATCAGTATCAGCCGATAAATGCTCATTTTTTCTGTTATCGGTATCGGCCCGATAAGAAAATTTGGCCGATATCTTAAAGCCGATAAATAATGCATTATTTCCTTCAGAGACACTTCAGATGCGCGCTGTTCGTTTGGAGCCTTTTGTGCAATTGTACGTTGTAATATTGTGTTTATTTGATTTTTATCTGATTTATCTCATATACAATGCGTTTGGTTAAGTTAAAAGAGCGCTTCAGATCGGTTATCGGTATCGGCCCAAATTTTCATATCGGTGCATCCCTAAACAAAATGGTGAGCATGGACTTTGTTCTATTTAGTTGTTCATTGGATGTTGAGATGTGGGAGTAGTACTCAAAAGTGGAGGCAGATGAATGTGAGCTTGCAGTAGGGGGCAGGTTTATTTTGATTAAACATATGATGTAAAAAAAAATTTTTTTGTAGAAAATTAGTTTTACAAGGATGAATTATTCACAAGATCTATATATAACATGCATTCAGACATTTCTAAATTAAAAAAATTTAAATTCATGAATTTTCATTTCATGCCGTGTTTTTTGTTAACTAAGTCAAGCATTACTGTTAACAAAACAAGAAGTTAATTAAAACAGGAAGTAGGTCTACATTTAGATCCCTATCAGTTTGCATATAAATATCAGAGAGGCACTGATGATGCAATCAACAGGTTAGTGCACCTAGTGACTGAACATCTTGAGGATCCCCAGGGCTTATGCTAGACTGTTTTTTGTAGATTTTAGTTCAGCCTTTAACACCTTGCAGCCTCACATTATTTTGAAAACACTGCAGCAGATGAATGTCAATCCCTTTATTATTAAGTGGTTCCACTAATTTCTGACCAATCGTAGTCAGCAAGTCAGGGTGAATAGCACGTTGTCTGAATCTATTGGCGCTTTTCCACTGCATGGTACGGCACGGTACGGCTCTTGTCTGTTGTGGAAGAACAGACGTTCCTCTCGTTGATAGCAGAGGAGCGGATCCAGCGAGAGCTTGATGGGGTGACGCGGAATGAAAAAGTTTTTTTTAGGAGTCGTGGTAGTAGAGGCGGCACAACTATAACACGTGAATAATCCCGCCCACTCTAAAGCGGTACTGAACTGCAGTGGAAGCGCAAACCGTGTCGAGCCGAACCGTGCCGTACCGTACTGAGCCGTGCTGAGCCGAGTCGTACCACGCGGTGGAAAAGCGCCATATGATTATCAGCACTGGCGCCCCACAGGGGTGTGTCTGTTCTCCAGTTCTGTTCACATTATACACTAATGAATGCACATGCAGAACTGTTAATAATTACACGATTAAGTTCTCTGATGATACAGCTATTTTAGGTCTCATATCTGGAACATCAGATGTTGTTACTTACAAACATGAGGTTCAGAAATTTGTTCAGTGGTGTGATGAACATTTCCTTATTATTAACACGAAGAAAACAGTGGAGATGATGTTTGACCCCAAATCCATTGGAGACCACTCAACAGTGGTCATTAATGGTCAGAATATAGCCCAGGTGGAATCTGGTGGAGTGGTCAGGTGGAAATGTCTGTACTAGGGTCCAACGGCGACTATACTTTCTTCGTAGGCTTAGGGTTTTTGGTGTTAACCAGAAAGTGTTGCTTCTCTTTTACCATGCTGTAATCGAGAGCATTCTTCGATATGGCATCTCAGCCTGGTTTGGCAATCTCAGTGTACATTTGAAAGCTCAGATTACATGGCTAACACAGAGAGCCATGAAAATTATGGGAGTTAAGCAGCATCCCACACTTCAGGCTCTTTTATGAGACAATTATTAGACAGGCTCAGAAAATTATTTTAGACCCCACTCATGTCCATCACTCTGAGTACTAACTTCTTCCTTCGGGAAGACGTTTCAGAGTTCCTCAATGTTGGCTTAACCGTTTTAAGAACTCCTTTGTTCCTCTGTCTATTAAAGCATTAAATGTTAAGTTAGCTAGAGGGTAGCAGTTATAATTTAAAAAAAAAAGTCTCTTTTTTCTCCCTCTCCGTAGTTTATGTATTCACTGTATATTGTGGGTAGGGTAGTGATGGGTTGCTGTATGTATTATATGTACGTAGTTATTCATATTAAACCGCAGATATCGTATTGTATGTGTCCAAGACAAATTTCCTTCAGGACAATAAAGTTTATCTTACATCTTATCTTACATCTTAATATTTCTCTTACTTAACATTGTTTTGTAATTGTAATTTAGTGCACAGACGACAACGTTGTCAAAACGACCCCGTTCACATGGAACTGAGAACATGACTAAAAACTCTATATTTTGCGTGCCAGGCCAGTAGTTGGCAATGTCACTTTGTAAAGACACTTTGTAAACACTTAGCGCCTGTGCACATACCTAGAGACTGAACACATAATACGCATCCGCATGACATCTTCAGTTTACGTGAAGTGGATAACACAAGTTTTCAAATACTTAAAATTTGAAACCTGTTTTTTAAAGTTAGCATTTTCACACCGCTAAAATGCTGTTGTCGTGTAAATGAATGGCCAAAAATAAAAGGTTTTCCATTAAATAACATAATGTAAATAATGTAAAGAAAGCACTGAATTAGAGTTGTGAGAATGTTAAAAGTTTATGTGAATTTGTATTTATTTAGTTATTTATTTTTAATCGGTGTAACACGACTGTGGCGAAAAAATATACGAAAACATAATGCACTGGGCTCGATCAGACTATCAGTGAGCAGGGCTACAAAAATGCAGAAGTACGATCTGTAGTTGTCAGAAAAGCCCTGGAGCTGTCAGAAGTCTAAAAAGCGGCATCTGGTGGACTTTACACATTGTTCATTTACTAATAATACTAAAATACAAAGCTGGTTGAAAATCAGTGAACTTACCCTTTTTGAAGATGCAATATTTAGAGACTGGGATATCCTAGATTAGGAGTTTTAGGGGCCGTTTACACGACAATGTTTTCAGCCAAAAACGGGAAACTTTTTATGCATTTTGACTGTTTGTTTACACGACAACAGCGTCTTTGGAACTGAAAACGCATATTTTTGAAAACGGGTTTCAAAGTGCAAGTTTTTGAAAACGGCACCGTTATTGTTTCCGTGTAAACACCCAATACGGGAATCTTTGAAAATGGTGACGTCATGCACGTGCGTAGTACGTGTTAGGTATGTAGACATGCGCAGTACTAGGGTTGGATATCGTTTTTTTTTTTGTCGATACTGGTGCCAAAACGACACTTTTAAAACGGTGCCGGTGCATAAACGGTGCCTGAAACGATACTTATTAAAAAATAAATAAATAAATAAAAATTCCCCAAAAAATAATGGATTGGCCATTAGCACTATAAACAAATGATGTCTGTTTCATTCATACTGGACGACAGAGGGCGCCCCTCACACAGAAAATCCACATATCCAGTCACAGAAGTAGCGGAACTCATGACCCTCCAGGAAATGCCTTATATGGACAAAGGCATCGCTATTATTAGCTGTAACTGAGTAAATGGAACATATAAACGTTTTGAATGATAAAACAAAGACAATAAACACTCGACTGCGACAATAAGGTTTATCTGTGTTATTCAAGCCATCTCTGGTATTTTCATAATAATTAAGTATATTTATAATCCATTGCTAATCGATGTAGCATATTCTTTTTAAAGTAGCATATGGAACATATTTTCTGCCTCATTCTGTGACAAGAAGCCACATCAGATCACAAAAGGAAGCATTTGACTGGTGTCGTGGAGTAAAAAGGTTATAATGTTCTCTTTTGTTGGAAAACAGGTTTAGAAATGTGAATAGAAGGGAAGTTTAGCTTTAGGCATGTTAATTTAAGCATGTTTAACTTAGTTAACGGAAGGCTACCTGCTGCCATCAGAGCAAGTG